TGATTGTGACGTCTTTACCTTGATAAACTGACGTTCTGAGCGCTGGATGAGGGTGTACTGTTGTTAAAATTGAATGATGTGAACGACTTGAACGTTGTAACTTGGGATCTTGTGAGAGAGGATACCCTGGAGTGAGTTCCACAGCTGAACGAGATAATTACAAAGTAACCACGTAACTTTATAACGAGGAATAAGGAAACGTATAAAGGGAATCACAAGAAACACGTTTCTTTACCACGTTATCACAATGTCACATACAACAACACAAAAAGGAATAAACATACATTTAAAATGAAAAAAGCGTATTCGAAAAACAAAACTCGACCATTTCTCATTATATTCTCTTTACCCTTAAATTCAAAATATTCAAACGCTCTGTGTCTCGTGATTTACTTTCTATAACATGCCTTTCTTTCATTTTTATATGATGTATACACTTTAACAATGATCTTCATGTTTGCATGCACATGAGTATTCACAATATAATACAAAGCAAATGAACTTTAATGATCGGTAATAGCACCGTTAAATGAGACTAATGTTAGTATTAACAGTTAGAACATTTAACAACGATTAAATATTACTCACTCCGAGTTCACTATATTTGATTCAGACAAACGATGATTCTCTCCTCTCACCGTTTGTGGTCTTCGCATGGTAACGGTTTGAGTTAAAGTCTCGATTTGCAAATCACACGTCTAGAATAATAATGAATTTAAAAGTCAAAACAAGCTTCTTTGAAAGAAGAGAAGAATACTGACTCTTTTTCTCTTACCCTCTTTCCATATTTCGCTTCAACTTGACTTCGCATGGATGCAAAACACTGTTCCAAGCGCTGATGAAACGGTGATAATTCAGGGGGGGCACGTGCTTTATGCAACTGCAAGCCAACGCCTAATAACGGTATCTGTTCAGCAATTAATCCTTCTAACTTGAGAAGATCTGAACTTTCTTCTGGATGCGAAGCACGATATTCAGCGTTAAGGAAACCTTTCTCGTAGTTATCAATGCCACCCATTACCGCTGGATCTAATATGCCATTAAGTTTCATACTCAGAGGATTTAATGGAAGACTGTGATCCGCTTTATGAGCTATAATTAAATCTCTCAGCATGGTGTTGGTAGCTTCCATCGTTTCTATCGCATTGCGAAGTGGACTGACTAAGTATGTTTGACTGGATGTAACAGGGAAACACCTAAGAATTCCTGGTAAGGGATGACTTGTCACCAATACTGTCCTTTCTAACCATAACGATGCAAATTCGTTATTAGTATTAATGTTAGTCTCCTTTTCTTTATCAGAATTCACGAATGAGATTACATCCTTTTTGGGCGCTGGCCTCGAAAACCGGAAACGTTGTACGTCGTTTACTCTATGGTACCTTAAATGCAAGTAGAAGTATTACACATTCATATTTTTCAATAGCGACCGAATTATAATAGGATTCGATTATTAATACACTTTGCGCAGGATACATTGGACACTAGGATTCAAATGTTTCAATTTAGACTACATTTTTACCTGAGAACTGCATCCGCTGTTATCGGCTTCCCACTGAGTCGGTTTCTCTTCTCATCCATCAGAGGATCTACTTTATTGATTTGCACATACTGATGATTCGACTCTAATATCTCTGAAGTGGGGGGAGACAATTTATTCATCTGTTCTGCGTTTGGTAGCTGATTTAACGTTCGAGAGCAAAAATCACTGAGTCTTTCATATTCCTTTCCACGGTAAATGAACACCTAACATAAATAACACTTCGTATTAAATGATTTCCAATGACGAGCGATTCATTAAAGTACCTTATTTTGCAAAAACGCAGGATGACCTCGACCGTAATATGCAACCCTAAAATATTCTGGTTCCGGCCGTAATTGTTTCACTATAGCATCATAAAACTTGGCCATGCGTTGTAACAATACAGAAAGTTGTAGGTAGTCAAACGTCTCTTCTTCGTACTGCGCGACTAACTCTTTACATACGGCTAACGCACATTCCCACATTTTACCTTTATCGAAGTAATCGATCATGTCGTTGTACAGTGCTTCTTTTAATTCACGATGCGTTTGACACGATAAGTATCTACTTTAAATGACGATGTTCTTTAATAATTGAGAAATTCCAAATGAAATTGTTAAGTGATCAGTTTGACATCGGTACCTGTGTGATCTTAGTAAAGGTGGCAATGGTTGATCGCTCCATGCTAATAATTGACTATGTAATTTCAGCGAGTACGCCGCTTCAGTGTAATTATCACACTCCAGATGCAATTCGCAAAGCTTGTTCACATATCTGATATACATTTCCTTTCTATTTATGTCGGAGTAAAATTCTAACAAATTTACGATACATAACATTCTATGTTCTTGGGACTCCGCGTGAATAATATCGCGGTATTGTAATAACCGTTCCATGAGCTTAGCTACCGTATCCACGAAACGTAAACCCTGTTCCCGCATAGTTGAATGTTTCTCGCAAAGATTACCCATTACCTGAGTCCAAAGAGAACGAAATTGTTCATCCCCTCTCCCTCCTTCGACCTATTAACATATTATACTAATATGATACACAATCGACCGACAAAAATAAATAATAATATTTATCACATTTTACCAATATATCCAACTTTGCGATCATTTCATTTTCATATTCTGTGAAATTAGCTTTTATATGAGCAGGATCCCTTTTCGTATCGCCGTATCCTTCAACGATGCGCGAACTATAAAATTCACATTGCATCATATCAAAGAATATCGGTATAGTTGCCTTTCTTAATTCGCTTTCGGGAATTAACGCCATTTCTAATATTGCTCCGACCAAAGCAGGAACAAACAATATTTTATGTAGGCCCAAATTGAACCACATCGAACGTATTTCAAAAGCTGTCTCTCTGCGACGAAAATGTATTTTGATAATTTCCATAATAGTGTAAATGTATCTGATCTTGATTATATTGAAATAATTGTAATATATTTACGCACCTGCGCATATCATTGTAACGCGAGACAATGCGATTGCGTTTCGATGGTGTAAACATCTCCAACTGCAAGGTAGGCTGGGTCAAAAATGCAATAGCACAATGGAAAAAATTCGACCAAGCCTGTTGCTCGAAATTCTTGAAGAAGTAATCTCTGATGGTACCAGAGAAGTAACGCAGTGATTTCAAAATGATACTGTTTTGAAGCATAATCATTTCACACCAATCACTTGGGAACACACTCCTTGAAACTAAATCTTTGAATACCAATAATATTTCCATAAGGAAATCCAGCAAATCAAAGTTAGTTCCAAAATGTGTTATATAAATCTCATAATGTTGTCGAGTCATTTGTCTGAAATGTTATGCGTAATATTATAAATTATCCTTTCAACGAGACATTACAGTAACTTAATTTTTACCTGAATATTGCTAACATAACTGAAACTAGATTTCCAACTAATGGATTTTCTCTGTCCATGGATATAACTGTTTGAATGATAGTCCGTAGAGCTGTGAGCATAATCTCCTTCACATCCTGCACTGTACTTCCTATATCTTTCCTAAATGTTAATTCCAATATGTCAGATAAAATCTTGACACATAATTCAACCTATGTAAACATAAGACAGAAATGTGTCCCTTAGCATCCCTGTTGATCGTGTTTAAAGACTTTTGCGAAAAGTTAATCAGAAGTCAAAAGTAAAATGGAACATAACGATAATCAGCATTCCTGCAAATCTAATGTAAGATACTTATCCTAAAGTAGGTGTCGGTAGAGTTTTCGTTTCATTAGCATGTATAATGCCAATAATCCAAAATAAATGTCACACTTTAATTCGTTAACGTATATCTCGGTAATTACCTCCTCAGAATAGCCGCGATGCTGGTTGAGTCGATGTCGATTCTCGCCGAGCAGCCTGGCTACCTTCGCCACGCTTTTTCCAGGCGTACTTGACAGCCCCTTTTTATTTAGGCCAATAACCAAAACCAAACCAAACACAAAAATGAAACAGCCCTATGTTAGTCAGAATATAATGCCAGTTTATGCGAAAAATTACAATTATAACTTTAATATCTGTCCACCACCTAAGAGAGATCGTATTAAAACTACAAGCGATTAAAATGCAGTGCCCCAGAAGCAATAGAAAAGTTACAAAAGGGCATTACACTGAATGTAAGAAAGAATTGTAAAAGTTGTTTATTCAATGCTCTTTGTCGGGCAGTTTAAGATACTACTTTGATAGAGTATGTCTTTGTGAAATCCGATAAAAACAGAATAAAAGGACAAAACACATAAAATATAGTTTTCTTGTGAACGTCTTTAGATAATGAATAATTAACTTCATATCACATTATTTTATGAGTTCATGCTACATCAAAAACAAAGGATGTATGTTCCATCGCTCATGCTCTAGTTAGATTTTACAGAGAATGTCTTTAAAGAATGATGTAAGATTCATAGAAAGATGCGTGGCGGGAGGATGTCAGGCTGCACGGAAAGCACGAATAGTGACACTATAAGTATCGTATAAGTTGTGTAAGAAAGTTTCGAATGCAGATGAAAAGCTCCGCTCACATTTTGATTATGATAATCGATGTACAGGCAACATGAAAAAATTGCAACTGCCTCGAACACAAGACACGCATACCTGTTTCTAAGCGTTGTTACATCACATTGGTATTAACATGAACGAAACTTCAATAAGAATACGTCAGGCTACTCGTGAAAGTGTTCCATGTTATAGGAAAGGTTCAATGTACGTTAATACCGATAATATTCTTTAGTCGCTTTACGTACACTTCAACGAGTAACGTGAGTATTCAATTTTCTCCACAGTAAAACTTAAGAAGACATAATGTATAATGTAATAAAATCACAACATATTTTACCTCTTCTTTGGCCTCCAGTAAGTCTCGAACTAAAATAGTAATCCTAGGTAATAAAATTGCTCTACATTCCGCATTCAGGAAAAGCTGACTATGAACGATATCATTTACTGTCATCATTTTTTGTTTCGTCAATCTTCCTGTCGGTAAAGTAACTAACAAATCGGTCAAGATTATGCTCAATTGTTTACCACTGTATACTCGCAATAAATGAGGTATAGTGGTTGGTAAATATTTAAGACATGCTCCTTGCACTAATAAAGTACCATCTGTTTCATGTCTCATGAGTTCAACTATTGATTTCAATAATTCTGTTAACGTCTGAGAAAATTCTTCTTCATCTTGATTTAACCTATTACATTGAGGTTTTTAGTAATAGCAACTAAGAGAAATTTCAATGGTATTAACAGTAAAAGACATACTCGGTAAATAGAAAACGAGATTCAACAACGAATCTCATACAATATTGAAGACTTTTCATTGTTTTTAGAAGTATATCACGTTCTTGCCCGTCATTATTAGTAGCATTATCTATACGTTTACGTAATACTGCAATTAACTTTTTGTATGCGAGTGTCGCAGAAAAACTCTCAGAAATATATAAATCTAATACTGGTTGAAAGTGTTGATACTTTCTATCAGACACTAGACCGATAATGTACAACAAACACTCAAATACCATATCATCATAAACATCACTGTCCGAATTACTCATTAGTATATTAAATAATGCATCCAGAACATCCTGCAAAAAAATACTATGTAACTTATTCATACTTGTGAAATTTTTATATATACGAACTAAAAATTTGTATACCTGCAGAAACTTAACAATTTCTTCTCCATCAACTTTCATTAAAGCAGCCAAAGATTCTTTTAAGTCTGTATTATGCGATGCCCAGTTTAATAATCCTAATAAATCTACATTCTGTGTTAGTTTTGTTGAACAAATATTAGTGGCTATGAGAAAACTGTCCTTAGTACTTAAAGTAAGCACTCCTAATGTTGGCTTTTTCTCAACATTTAGTTCAACCTAGAAAAAAACAATACTCAAATTGTATTATGGTATTTAAATATTCTCTTAGATAACGTTTAAGATTTCTTATATTCTCATTTTCCTCACCAATTCACTTCTTGTAGATGGAAGTTTCAAATACGAGATATCAGCTTCTTCATATTTCTTTTGATCTAATTTATAGACTAGCAATTCATGCTGTATATCTTGCAATGTGGTCCCATTACGTTGCATTAACTTCACATAACTTAAGGCAAAAGGTTTCTCGCTTTTATCTTTCGCTTCATTCGAACTTCGATGCTTAAACGTGAATTTTAAATGTGCCTGTTTGAATTCTTCAATAGGTATAGCAATCTTGAATGTTTCACACCATCTTGGTTTATCCTCATGGTAGTAAATAACGCTATGATATTCGTCAATCGGCAAAGCTCCACCGCCCAGTGTCATAACACCTGGTATAGGAGTGCCAAACTCATTGCACACTTTAACCTATCAAAAAATAAAATAATAATATATGTACATGCATATAAAAGTAAGTAATAATAAGTATTAAATAATACCAACCGTTACTTCAACATTCTTGTCAGTAGATTTTGAACCTTTATTAAATTCACCACTAATCAATGTGAGATATAAGTCATTTCTCACATCACCTGGTAAAATAACTTCTGGAAAACCCATTTTTCTTGCAGTAGCAACATTACCAAGTACTAAATGAGGATTCTCCTCTCTCACCTAAGTTCCATTAAGACTTTATAATAAATATTATTATTCCAACCATAGTTTTTAAGAGTTTAAAGTTTTGCTTACTTGTTTCGGATCCCCTCTAAGCAATTTTAAACTAGCCCACAAACCCTGACCACCAGTAAAATTACCATTACTGCCATTGCCACTTTTCTGAATACTTGCTTCTTTTTGAGACAGAATTCTTCGTAATGTGCCATCTAAACTTTCTTTCTCACAACATCTGAAAAAAGTAAACAGCACCAACAAAACAGATCTACCTAAATTGTATTCATAAGGAAGTTTTTATGAATACATTTAATGTTTCAATTAAAATCAAACATTATACTTACTGTACAAATGGTATGAAATGATGATGATCTGAATCACCTTCAAGTTTACCAGTAATATATAATGTAATATCCATGGCTGCTACACCAAAAGGTCTTCTCATAGTTTCAGTATTTCTTGTTTTCTGGTTAATTTGTGCAACACTTGAACGTCGGTGATCCATATCTTTAGCTTCCATACCACCTACTCTAATTACATAACAAGCTAAATAAACTTTATCTCTAGCTAAATCACGAGAACCAAGATCAGTGAATAAAACTCGAAGATTGTGAAGTTGATCTATATCTCTGGCTAGTCCTTCCTTACTCCATGAAACTACATAGTTTTCGGTAATTGCTTTCATTTCACGACCATCATATAATGTCAATAGTAACTCTACATCTTCAGTCATTTTACATACAAAATTCCTTACGCTAACAAAGAAGATATGTGAGTAGACAGGTGCTTGTGGTTTCAAAGGCTTCTTTTTCATATCATTTGCTGCTTTTCTTATTCTTTCAGCAGCTGTTTCATGATGATAATACAATTGAATTGTACTTGTTTCTTCTGGATTAAGGACATTTCCCTGATCATCACGGACAACCATATCTAGGCCCAATAATTGATTGCCAGTATCAATCCTAGCTGTAGCTAATCTTTTCATATCTTTCAATTCATCCACTGTTAAAGTACCACTTAAAATTTTGCTTCTATATCCTATTAATTCTAGAATTTGTTGTTGCATGTTTTTAAAATGCTCTGAATGAGTCTATAACAATAAAGAAGGTTCATTGCATTAAATTTTGTTCATTAATTACTTATAAAAAAAGTATTTTGTACATGTGTATATATATATATTGTACTCACCACATATAAATGCTTCCAATGATGTCCCCATTCTCTTAAAACATTAGTAATTTCATGTATCAAACAATCCATACTCATTGATTTTTCTAAAATGTGTATATAGGATTTTGGAAAAATCCCACATGTCCCTTTACATTTGTTTCGTCCATAATACCAATCTCCACACTCTGCTAATATATATACCACTTCCCCAACTGATAATTGTAGTGCATGGGGGGTCCCATGTACAAAGTTATGAATGGCTGCGTAATAATAAATGATTAAGAACACTTAAGTGTCATGTTTAGTATACGTTACCTCTCTAATGTTTTAACCTACTTGAACAGCAAAACTAATGTTGGTGATATTACAAAAGTAAATAGCAAGGAATAAAGTTCCATTATTGTTAATAAATAAGAAGTTATTAATTTTCAATGAATTTATGAATAAAAAGTATAAGGTTTACCAAGAAAACATAAACCATATACATATGTACATATACACATCTATATACATATATATACATATCATCTATTTATTATGCAAACGATAATGTTACTGACGTTATAAATCGTTTCAATGATATCTGCGAGTCAATTAAACATTTTCTGACGATGGAAGTAAATTAATTTTGTTTCAGAATGAGCGTCGAAGTAGTATTACAAAATTTCTCGGGTATCCACGATACTTGTGCGTTAAACAAGAGTTAAAATTTTATCAGACTTGGGGCACCTCCCAGGATGTTAGATCTTGCAAAGGCCAAATTAATAATATTTCATAAATTATTTCTTACCCACTCCAAGATGTTCCTTAACTTGCGACCATGCCATTGTCATTCTCATTGAGAATTAACTATAATAATATATGTACACTAATTACATTTCGATCCGCACGTTTGTCGTGCGAGCAAAATACGATACTTTTTATCTTGACATCTAACACAACTATACGCAGCGAAACACGATGCTACTGTCTCAATATTATCACAGCGATGGAAACACGGATGAAGCCAAATACACCACGAACCATGTTTCAACTTATAGATTCTCCAGCGTTGCACGCATTCTTCCGCGTGAAAAACCGGGAAAAGTATAAAATACAATGTACTCTTTGTAAATAACTTCTACCACAGACGAGGTATAAAGATAGACAATGCAAGCTTATGGAACTTCGTATCACATGTTGCGAATTACCGACTGTGTAAAAAAATCAGAGGTTTTGCTCTGCCCTCTACATCTAAAGAACGGTGAATAGGAAAACTATATTTATATCGCTGCCATACAAAATCAGCTTAAGTCGTTATGACAGGGCGTGACACAAAAATGGTAAGGGAGTCCCGGAACCCCTTAAAGCATGTAACAAAATTTTACATTGCATGTTGTCTATCCTATACCTCGTCTATGATTAAATTTTAATCACATTGGATTATCAGTGGTTTATTGAGATTCTTCTGATTAAAATGAATCCAAACACGACGTAAATCTGTTTAGTTTTACCGACTTGGGGGAAACGAACCTTTAATTTCGTTAATTACATCAAGTCGGTAAAACTACTATTACTTAACAAGCTACAAAAAATGTACCTACATAGTAGATAGGTACATGGTACTACGAATGTAATATTATTCTTATTTTTGTATTGTTTAATAACAGATTCACTTTTTTGTACGAACATTCTTTACTGTTAAGACTCGAAATTAAATACATATCACAATATTTGTTTTCATTAAGAATGTCACCGGTTTTTTACTACATTCTTTCTCTTTTTCTCGATTGATACTTACGTATTCGCCTTATGTACGTATTTACAGTGAATTGGTATAGGAAATATATATAACACAGATTTGAATGGGTTTGAAGACTGACAATATTAGCCGGTTTAAGATTTTATACTGTGAATTCATTTATTTGAAATCTTTCTTAAATTTCATGTAATCATCATATATTTTTCATAAGGATTGTATTACGCGCATTTAAAACATACATATACAGGTATGTTTTCATAACATTGTTTATATTTGATTGATCTTATCTATAACATACGTGATGGCGTATTATCAATCCAATATATTAACAAAAGATGCTGAGATGTCTAACAGGTGAGTGTAAATTTAAAATATTGTTAACAATTAATATAAGAAACATTAAAAAATTTCATCCTTTATACACGTGTGAGAATACATTGTATGTCTACTCAGTTAAGCAATGCGTTGTTTGGAATGTTCGATTTGTATAATAACAAATAAATTGCATATATTTCTTCATATTTTTTTTGTATAAACATATTTTTTTCTTAAAGTAGTACAAGCACCGAATTTACACTGTACGTGAATAATTTACCTGGAGAATTAAATGAAGTAAGTATACATAACTGTTAAAATACATGTATTATTTATATCACTTTATGTTATTCGATTATAGTTATGTTTATTAAGATTAAATATTTGATTTTATATAATATTATAAAATTGATTGAAAACTCTACCTCTTAATAGTGTTTAATAAATAAAATTTACATTGTTCAAGAATGGTTTCTTACAAATCTTTAATCACTATGGAGAAGTTATTGGACATTTTTACCGACCAAATGCTACTTGGGGTTATATTACGTATGGTAAACGCCGTGATGCACAAAATGCCATTAAAGATTTACACGATGTACCACCTTTACGTTTGAAAGTATCATTTACCAAAGAAAGAAGATCCAATGAAATACAATTTACAAACATATCTACTTCTGACAATGAAAAGTCTGAAAATTATAATTACCCACGAGAAGATAACTATATGAAAAGACCTCAGTGAGTATTCATTTATATATTTTTATTGATATGTAATGTGTTTATAAGTTAAATAATTTAATTTGTAAATGCAGTCAAACACTGGGGCGAGGTAAACCAATGGATATATTCAAAAGAGTAGAACCAAACATGGGAATTCCAAAGTATAGTTCGGATAATGAATTATTATATGCTTATCCTACTGATCCATATACATATAATCCATATGAAAATGCAGAACCTTATGCAAGTTCAAATATGTTGTGGACAAGGTAATACAGAATCTTAAGGGTTATATAAAGGAGTAATAATGGTTTATATATATAATAATTTTTTTAAATACATTCTAGGGGTCAATTAACTATTTCACAAGATGGTAAAAGACATGTGTCTCTTGGACGTGGTCATACAATGTATGAGATCCCAGATCCAAACCCTGAAGTTCAAACTCAAATCACTAATGTGTATGAAAAACGTACCACTGTAAGTAATAGTGTAGATAGAAGATAGAAGAAATGTATATACTACTATTTATTACTAATTAAGTAAGTCTCGAATATTAAACATGGACATTTAATTGACTAGGGATTATATGAATATGGTAATGATATGTTAAGAGATGGAGTTGGCAGGTGTGAAAAATGTTCAAAGATAACAAAATTTACCTGTGAGAGATGTCACAGTTTCTTTTGTAGTAAGAATTGCCAAGTAGCTGCTTGGCCACAACATAAAATTGAATGTCAAGCTATTCCGTAAGTATTGCTGGAAGACATTAAGTTAGGATAAAAGTTAAATATTATGAATAGTTAAGATGTTAAGAGACATCTTACTTTTTACTTTTAGAGATTTGGTGTTAGCCAAAAGTGTTATGAATGGATCACAATTCCATAGTAATACCAGAGAACAGTCTTTTAGTAGAAATATGTCTTTTATCCAAAAGCCTCTTCGTCGGCCGAAAGATAAGTCATTAACTAATATGGTATTACCAAACACAAATGGTTCAGATGAGATTGCAAAAGATCAAAATCCAATCAAAGTACCTGCAGACAGTTACAATGGCGATACAAAAGATAACCAATCGAACATTGTTGAAAGTACTGATCAGTATCATACGTCCCAGCAAAATAATACTAACAAAAATATAAGTATTTCCGTACATGATAGAATGGATATGCTGAATACATTAAAAACTAATGAAAAACATAATGTTCAAACTAGTAAGGCAAAAGAACATAATGCCTTCTCATTTAAACAATTAAAAGATTCCCTTTCCTCTTCTGATAAGGTGACAGATAATAAGGAATCAGAACATTCTGAAAATAATGTTAAAAAGCGGGAAAATTTCAAAGATGTAACTAAGATAGAAGAAGAAATTGCCTTTTCAAAATATACATTTTTACCACCATCAAAGTTTGTGGATGTTAAAATAATTGTTGGAGAAGGTCGTGAATATTGGGTTCAAAAAGTAGAAGATCAGGACAGCATCAAACAGTTAATGAACAATTTGGAAAATGAGGTACAAAACGTGAAGAATGTACAACCAATAGTTGGAAAAATTTATGCAGTTAAGTATCGGGGAGTATGGGGTAGAGCTTTAGTAAAATCGTTGAATCCTGTAACTGTGCATTACGTCGATTTTGGTAACGATGAAGTCGTGAACACTGACGATTTTCATGAAATTTATAAATTTAGAAATATACCAGCATATTGTGCTACAATTCGTTTGTCTGAAAAAGCGTATAAAAAACATAATAATTTAAAATACAAAGACATAATAACCGTGAAATGTATATCTGTTGATAATAGTAAAGTAATTAACGTGGAAGTTCAAGGAGAACATGATGAATCCACAGCACAATCTGAAGTAAATGATATTTCGATACCAAAAGATCGCACAACAGAACCAGAAGTTCAAATATTAATGCCAAAAGCTCGAAGCTCGACGACGGAAGTTTCAACTTCGATACCGAAAGGTCTTAAACCTGCCAATAATCCAATTTCTTTAAAAATTTCTACTAATAGTAAGACGCAAACTACTTTTACAAAACCGAATACTGTAGTAAATACTGTATCCCAGGGAGAAACAGGTATTCTTGAGATACATGCTGAATTGAGAAATAATGTCTATGGTATCACATTATTACCAAATAACGCGACATTAGATTTTGAAAAACTGTTGAATGAACTGCCTCCCATTTGTGAACGGAAAGCAGAAAATTTCAATCATAGGTATATACTAATGATATACATGCGTTATAATATATAATCGTAAATTTAATCATAAAATATTCTTAATTTATAGGCCGCAGATAGGAGATATAATATGCGGTCGAAGACTTGACGGAGATTGGCTTAGGGGATATCTCTTGTCCCTGGATACACCTCTAAAGATGGCTATAATAGAAGAAGCTAGAATGATGGAAATTACTAAAACAGTACCATGTCCTGAAGATTTCGTGAACATATGTGCTTTTGGAGTTACATGTGAAATAATTAATACCACATATAAGTTTAGGGTAAATTTATACTGCACATTACATACAATTTTATGATGTATACTTTATATGTTATTTTGTACCATATTTTTAAATTGTTATTTATAGGCAAATGAACATTATGAATTCAAAGTTCTAGTACATAAACAACAGAACGAAATTGAAATAGAAATTTCGACGAGTGAAGAGAAAGTGAAAGCTATTGTAAAACCATGGACACCAGAACCTGAACAAAAAGCGTTACTATATGCTAAATTAAGAAATAAATCTGAGGTTTGAAGATTAATTTAAATTTAAATAATATAAGTAATAAATAGTACAGAAGCTGAATATATAAAATATATTCTGAATGTCCTGTCAAATTCATTATCTACTGTCGTTGTAGGTACGTTTGACTGCTTATCAAAATCATATTTCTATGTATGCCCGATCTTTAGATGTTGAAGAAGTAGAGTACTACAACAATGTTATGCAAACTGTTGCAAAATGTGCTCAAACAGGTATGCAAAATGTTTTATGATAATAATTTTCAATTTTTGTAAACTTTTGTATGTTTATATGTCAGCTCCATCTTTAAACGAGCCACCAGTTGTTGGGCAAATGGTAATGTCTCGTTATATCGATGACAATTATTACCGTGCAATTGTTACTAAAGTAGAGGATTCCAAAATTAGAATTTCGTATATTGACTTCGGTAACACGGAAGTTACCAATATAAAGAATCTTAAGATTCTAGATGACCAATTAAAGCAGGTTTGTTGCTGTTTCACATTTGCACGATAGTTTAACAGATAAATTATTAAACGAAAATATTAAACGAAACAATGTTTCAAAAAGCTACGGTCTTGTACAAGCAAGATTGTTTTAAAAGATGTACTTCAAGACACTCCTATGACTAAAGAGATATGCGACTATCTCAGTGATTTGGTAGGAAGAGAAGTTCCTTTAATATGTACCTTTGATGGTGTACCATCAAAAGATGGTGTATATCTTAAATTACATAATGGAGAATGTGTTAATAAAACCATAAACGAAATGTTAGTGCCAACTTGGAATAAGATCAGTGCAGAAGAAGGTAACTGTTGAAGAGTAAGAATTAGTTTGATATTAAATAATAATATTATTATTAATATAAAACTACAATTTATAACAACAGATACGACATGTTATATGATAAACGACTTAAGTACTGCTGACATAGGAGAAGTAGGTGATGTTGTGGAGGCTGTGGTGTTACATTGTATCGAGGATGGTTCCACGTATTCAATATGTCCATTAGATTATCATTTAATGACTCATGTTTTTGATATAATGCCTAAAATGGTAATTTTTATGGAATTTAATTCTTTTTACAGGTATTATGTACAAGAATATATTTACGTTAACTTGTTTGTATATTATCTCTTACAGATGACTGAATATTGTGAAAAATCAAAGTACTATATTCCTCGAGAGAAAGAACTATGTTTAGCTCTCTTTGATAATGGATGGTACCGCGCGGTATGTCTTCGTCGAACTGAAACACCTACAGCGAGCGATATTTTCTTTGTCGATTTCGGAAATATCGAAGTTGTTGCTCACACTGATATACGACTTATGCCGAAGGATTTCCTTACTCCTAATGCACTCGCAAGCATTTGCAAAATCGTCAGTAAGTATACAGTATATACATGTTTATTTAGAACATTGTAATTATTAATATTTTTGTCTAGATATAGTTCCTAATAATAAGGAGACACAATATTCGGCTGAAATAGAAAAGAGGATTGCAGAATTGATTGTTGTCCATAAGTGTATTAAAATAAAGATCATTGAATGCAGTGATGGAATATATAATGTGGAAGTACCTCTGATTCGGGATGAATTAATTAAAGATGGTTTAATATCACCGTAGAGCACAATATCGATAATAATAATAATTTACGTTTTGTTAAAAAGAAAGAAATCAAATCATATGAGGTTTTTGTTCTAGTTGATAAGAACATAAATTATACATTAACATAATAATAAATGTAATTATATTTCAAAGCATTTAATACTGTGAACAGATTATCATTATCAATATAAATAGAAATGATTTGTTTTCTCAAAACCGTTTGACTGCTTATTTTTGCTATCCAGTATTTTATTTTATAATTGTAATGAAACAAAATGTTTATAAAATATTGTATTAATATTAATAATAAATACGATGAAATTCATGGAATTATGATTTACGTTAGTTTTAATGTTGCCTTAATGTTAAGATTGTATTTTCACTTATCCTGAACTATATCCTTAATGGATCACACAATTAACCACTCTTGCTGCGGTTTATTTACGTTTTATCCTAACCTAACTCACAAACATCTGACTAACCTTTCTTGATGTGACAGTTCAGATGACAGATCGCTGTATGCAACCATTTGATTTAAATACTACGAGGCTTCCAAACAATAGGAATAATTAAATGATGAACGTTCAAATAAGACACCCTTACGAGGGTTTGTTACATAAGTACACAAATGCCATGAAAGGATGGCAATACCGTTGGTTTATCCTTAGTCCTGAGACTGGTGAACTACACTATTTTCTTAGCGAATCCGAAAAGAATCAACGACCAAGATGCTCAATATATTTAGCAGGTGCGGTAATTGCACCAAGTGACGAAGATTCTAATACGTTTACTGTTAATTCTGCCACAGGTATATTAATATATTAAATAGTAATATTTTTTACATGCAGTGAAGAACAAAAGCACTTAAGGAAGAGAACTATACTTTTTCAATTTGTAGTTACTTCTTTAATGTACATTAACTCTAAAGAATATTAAATTATTATTAACAAACTTCAATATAAAAAATATAGATTGTTTTATTGTTATATTTTTATTATGTAAATGCTTCTGTTTAGGTGATATGATTAAATTGAGAGCTACAGATGCCCGTGCTCGTCAAGAATGGGTTGATAAATTACGTGCTGTGACAGAGATGTATACCAGGGCAATAGCGAGCAGTCATCCTCCTTTGCCTCCAAGAGAACATTCGGCAAATGCCAATAGAAATCCAGTGGCTAAATTAGAAGTATTAGATGCATTTGCTAATTGTCAGGAACAATTAAGCAAAGTAGAGAAACACAACCATGCGTTAGCACAAACTATTGAGAATTCGAATTTAAATTTAGATCCAGACCTATTAGTCCTTAAGGCTACTGCATACACTACATTACACACATTAAGTCAATGTTTGAATATATTATATCAGTAGTTCTTTACTGAGAATCTTATTATCACTGATAAAAGACTCAGAGATTTTTTATCTACATGTATGAGATGCATTTCAATTATTTCCAGCAAATTATGTTTTAAACCTCTTATTGACAATCCAATTGTATGTTCTTCCAAGTCAGTGTTATGGGAGAGTTTGCCTTCTTATCAAATAGTAGATAACAAATAAATAATTATCGTGTATTTGTAAAACTTAAGCATAATACATTAATTGTATTGAAGATCTCTAAAGACCTTTCTACTTTGATCAATGGAAATTCACAGCCTTCGTATTAATGCAAAAAATAAATTTGTAAACAGATAGATTCATATAATTCCATTTTCTGGAATGAAATTAGAATTAAATTAGTACTTACAATTATTCCATATAAGTATCTTAGTAAACAAAAAAATGATGCACCTATAAGCATTCATTGGTTATTGCTGCCAAGAAAAGTTTATTATTAAGAGATAAGCGTAAAGAGATCAGTCATATTTATATTGTTTATTGAGGAATTAGTTTTTGCCGACAGCACGGGTATGTTGAAAATGTAAGAGAAACGGCGGAATGTGTAGTTTCATCTCGCAATAAATGCCAAGGTCAAGGAATCGGGTGAAGGTAAACAACCAGCAGACTTTTACTCTGCTTAAAGAGCAGATTTGATCAGTGTGAATGTGTTGTGGTCCTCGGGAGGATCACGGTTGTTCTCTCTTATAGTATTAAATTGCAGTTAATATTCTTGTTAATATAATCATGATAACAAATTAGGATATGCATAATGACATAAAAACATTTTTATTTTACTTTTGAATATGATATTCTGTGTTTTAAATCAATATTAAATGTAATTTCGACAATTGTTCAATATGCTATCTAATGCTAAATAAAAAATATTGTTAAAATTAAAAGAACTTTGAAACAAACATGTCTATTACACCTAATTCAGAATTATTGACTGAAGCGGCAGGCGTTAAGATCTTTATGACACGTTTATCAAAAGGAGAATGTTCATCAAATGTACTTTCAATCACGGGAAAAATTCGTATAACATTAGAAAAGATAAAAGAAGCCAAGTCTTGTGGATTTCATCTGACAAAATCAAAATGGGATCCTTATCCTTGGATAAGTTGCGTCGAAACTGGTAGCATCGCGGATGTGGGCGGTCTTAGGTAAGATTAATTAAAGTCATAATACTACATCATTTTATAAATTTAATTAAATTGTCGCGTTTCAGGGCTGGCGACTGTTTAGTGAGTATCGATGGAAAAGATTTAATAGGATTAAGAATAAAAGAAATTGCGGCGCGCATTCACCAACATCAGGAACAAAACATAGATATATTTGTTTGGAGGTATATTACCGAGGAAGAAGAACAGACAGAAGCAGGAATAATTATGAAAGGACCCCTACCCGATGTTGCAAAGAAACTTGCAAACGCGGTATCTGGAGTAGTATGTAAACAAATTCCTTTGTACAATGTCTTCGTTAAAATATTATTCTCTGATTTTTCTCGAATATACGCTATATTGTATTTTTAATGAAATTATCATGTACTTAGGTGAAAGCTTTAGAATGTCCAATTTGCTTGGAGAGTTCACTGCCCCCAGTCTCCCAGTGTGTTCACGGACACATTATTTGCGTAGGATGCAGACCAAGGACATCCCGTTGTCCAGTTTGCAGAGTTAGATTGGGTCAAGGTCGATGTTTGCTAGCAGATAAACTTTGTAAGGTGTTCAAAGATACATTCGACATAAAGGATGATTTATATGATAATATAGAAAATCAACGTTGGAGTCTCCGAGATCGTCTTTTTGGCAAAAATAGCAAAATCACGCCATCAGAAAAGTCAAAAAGTAGCGGTGCAATTCTGAAAGCACGACAATTATTGTTGAGTAAATTATTCCTTGGCGGGACAGAGAAAGCTGCTTCAGCGGATAATTTGACAACGGTTTCCAATGAAATATCCAATATCAATGAAACGACGACCAACAGTTTAAAATTCGAAGAATGTATGAGATTATGCGATCGCACCAAGTCTGCAAGCACAGGAGAATTATCAAAGGAAACGCTGAAAAATGTTATGAACGATCGTTTAGAAAATGATAGTCCTGCTAGAATGTCAAGCACTATCAGTTTAATGTCCAATGTGCCTCCTACACCAATTTGGGAAGGTTCAATGGACTCTGTATCTTGTACACAAATAGTATGCCCTTTTTTCAAACAATACGACTGTAGAGATATCATTATGTCTGACTTAATATTGCAACACTTGAGTGAAGTTCATGAAGTGCCCCATGTACATTTTTATTCCACTCCTGTACAGATTCCATTACCACTTCCTTTTGGCATTAATGCTGTTTATGTATTGCATTATGGTGGAGACCTTTTTTTCTTACAGGTATACTCTCTATTATAATAGAAGATTATTTAAGCTATTATATCGTATAGAAAATAGTATTATGAATTATGAATATACAGTATGAACAGGAAGCTGTCTGGATGTCGTGTGCAATGGGAGGAAGAAATGCATGGGAATGGACTTTGCACGGCCAAGGAGAAAACGGAACCGAGATAAAAATGCGAAGAAACGTCGCCAGTCTTGAAATCCCCGTGACTGTATCATCACAGCATATTGCACCGTTACCAAACTCATTGTCATTGCACACATTAGGCATTCAGTTAAGAGAGTACCGCTTACACGAACAGTCGGGTGTATGACAAAGTGCATATACGTATGATGTAAAAAGAGTAACAAAATTGCTTATTTATTATTATTATAAGATAAAAATTAACAAATACATTGTGTTAATATATGAAATCTTCATACAGGATCATCACAATATTAATGCAAGAATACTTAAGTATGTAATATAGAATGCATTATGAAATGTAATTATATATAAATGCATATTTAATGTTAAAACTAACATTGGTAAAATGTTAAAATGTTTTTCATTGAATTTGCAAAAAATACAAATAGATAACAATGAAACATGCTTATCTTTTTATTTTCAAGGCACTTGATGTATTATGAAAGATATCAAGTTTATATAATCATGGGGTATTACGTAATATACTGTCCATGTATGGTTTGAAAAATTCATATTGACCAGTCCGTGCCGCTTGGCCGGCCATAATATCGTATGCATATTTTAATACTGCTAAATAGTTTTCTTTTCCAACTATATTCAACTGGACATTAAAAACATGCGTATCGCAGGAAGGCATCATTTTTTTACCAATTGGTACGCATAGCTTCCTTTTTTTCTTTGGCTCAGGCGGCGTGTCTGTTACTTCTGATTCTTCTTTCTTTTTATCTCTTTTTGGACAACTACAAACTCTAACAGGAAGTCTACGTCTACCGAGTACCGTTTTTTTGTGATTCTCCAAAGTAAAAATTAATTCTGTGGGTCTACGATTCATGCCAGATGGACAACTATTCTTGCATAAAAACTTGAAATTCATTAGCACATACTGTGAGCCAGCTTGTGGTGTACGAAGAGGCGTCAAAACAGACAGATGTTCATTTCTTTCTTCATACATGCTAGAATGATCTAAACAACGCACAACATGTTTAATAACTCGTGGATCTACATCTCGATTGTTTACATTGTTTAATGCCATATGGTTATGACACCTTTTAACCGGATCACTTGCATATTGATCTAAACTAAAAACCATAGTAGTACGCAAGAATAAACCATCCTCAGGTGGATCCCACTTGAAACGTAATGGCAGTGTTTCATCCATATTAATAAATACCTTTC